TTTTTTTTTTTTTTTTTTTTTTTTTTTAAAAAGCTGGATCAGCAGCCACCGAGTCAGACTGAGCTGTCTCAGTGCTGGATGTGACCGTGGTAGGAGTACTCCAGCACAGGGTGAAGGCAACGCCCTTGGTGTGGTGGCTATGAAGAGGAGGCATGCACTCGGGCTGTATGCTCACGTAGCACCCTTCTGAGGGTCTTTCCCTTCCATGTCCTATCTCCTCGCTTGCTTTTGAGGTTCAGCTTTGCAGCTGAGTGGCTGCTTTTTTTAGGTCAGACCGGTTTTCTGATTGATTACAGGACATTTGGATAAAATAGACAAATCCCACTCTCAGCTTGTTTCCTTTAGATTTAGGCTGGGCAAATAAACTAATGTTTTATAATATATATGTATATCAGATTGACTACTCCTACTGCAATTCAATCTATTTGTAATCCTTTCAGCACCCAGTGCTCCCAGCTTCTTGGCGTTCTCTGAAATCACTTGCACGACACTCAATGTGTCTTGGGGCGAGCCGACAGCAGCAAATGGAGTCCTGCAGGGTTATCGAGTAGTCTATGAGCCTTTGGCTCCCATCCAGGGTAAGAAAGACCTCCGATCATACATATTCATGGGGAAATGACAGAAAAGCACTGTAGTATCTTTTATCTCTGCCCAATTTCCTACTTGCTCTCTGCCGTTTTCCAAGAGAAGCCAGGTGGCAGAGGGTAAGTGAAACAATTCTGCTTTTGCCAAAACTGTTCAGCAGCCTATAACATTGTGGAATATAGCTTTTGTCTGTCCTCTCTCATTTTCTTGCACAAACTATATTCTGTGTGATTTGAAAAGTCATTTTACGGCCGTCGTTACCTGGTATGGGCGAAGAGGAAACTCAGCCTGAGAGTGCCTGGTTGTCGCCCCGTGTTGCGCTTTGAAATTGCTGAGTAGGCTCCATCCCAGAATAGTCGTCAGACGCATTTGTGTTGCTTATCATGTCATGTGTCACTTCTGTTATCGCAAAGATTGCCTGGGCATCGAACGTGCTAGTCATCACTGGTACCACCGCCACTTTTGACAAGGGAGAATAACTGTGATAGAGATTTAGTTGTGTCTGTTTACATGGAGTTTTCAAGCAGCATTTTTAACCCAGCACTAGATTTAAGCTGGGCCACAACAATGTGGTGGCCACAAATGTTTCATTAATTTGCCAGAACAGCAACAGAGAAGGATTTGGCAGTTTCTCTGAAAACAAATGTAAATTCATTCCAAAGGTGAATTAGAAAAGATTACAAAGTTTGTGGATGGTCTTATTAACATTTTTATATTCCTGGTAGATCGCCAGTAGTTCAGTAGGATGTCCAACTTTGGCAGTGTGACAGCAGGGAGAGTAACTTCAACCATTGCCAATCCATTTTAAACTCTTTTCCAAAGAAATAAAGATATCAGTCACTCATATTTGCTTCTTCTGTAAGGAATAAAGATCTATATTGTCTGAATACCCATGTCTCATGCACTGAGAAAGTTATATTCAGGAATGAAAACATGGGAATAAAAGCACTTCCAGCCTTTACAGCTGGCAGGTCTGAGCACAAAGAGCTAATGCAGAAAGCATTTCTAATTCTGACCAAGAAATGTGCACTGGGTATACAGGAGGTTCGGGCTGTTTGGGCATTTCCTGCCTTTTATTCATTCCTACACAAGGTTTAAGAACACATTTGTTCGCCTGAAAATATGGAAGTGTCAGATCATGTTTTCTCTGCATGCATTTGACTTAACATCCTCAGAATCTTTGTTTTCTTTTCTTCTCTTCCCCGCCTCTGCCTGTGCTATCTCTAACTCCAGTTTGTCTCTCCTTCCCCTCTAGAAGATTTCTGATGTGAGCAGGGAGGTTATGGCGGGCTTTTCCTCAGATTCTAAGTTTTTGCCTAAATTTATTTTCCAGTTTCTACCCATTTGCTCTTGTGCCAACATTTTTCTTTCAGCAAACATATTTATTCCCCCACCATGGTAAGTAATCCCTCCCTCGATGCCATCATTTTCCTCTGATAGAAAAGCCACGCTCCTTTATTTAGAGAGCAAGGTAAAGCCAAACTCATTTGAAGGTGGAGCATGTAACAGTGCTGAATGCAGGCAGCGAGGCTTGCGGGGCTGGCAGCTGCCAGACCCCACGATCCCAGAGGGTCCTTCCAGCCCCAGGTCTCAACGTTCCTCCATGCCAGCACTACAACGCAACAGCATGGATGGACCAGACCCCCTGGAGCTTTTTTCCTGCATCTTTTGGCTTTTCACCCATTCGTGATTTTCGGCTGAGCACCCTCGCCGTTGTGACACCTCCTGCCTTCCCACTCACAAGCCACCATTTCAAACCTGCATAGTCTGCAAAGCTTCCTAACAGCGATCTGTTCTTTAGCACAGTCTTCTCCCTGTGTGACCTTTTATTGTTTAAGCTTTACAGCATTGTGTTTTACACAAAAATAGACAACAAAATTGCCCTGGAGCCTTTTTTAACAGTTCCTTTTTTTTTGGAACAGAACTTCAAAATGACAAATGCTTCCTGATTTGTCTCAGAGAAATGAAATAGTACACCTAGGGAAGGAGGGCGCACTTTTACTGCTTCCTCGTTAACCAAGGAAAGATTCCCTAAGTTATAAATTGTATCTGGGAGAAAACTTTGAACAGAAATTGCTTGGACATTATTCTTTATTTAACTGATGAAAACTGAAAGAAGCATCTTGATTTGCATAAAATAAGCATCTGGATTGAAAAAAATCTTCCTTCTGCATTTTTCTGAAAAGACAAACTAGCAAGCTGCCTTCTCCAGTGGGAAAAACATTTTCCCGCTTCCTATCTTCTTGGTTTGAAATGTGTTATGTGCATCTACAGAACCAGGAAAATGCCAAAAGGACTCTGTAAATTCAAACTTTCTGTTCTGTGAAATATTTATAAATCAAATTCTTTCCATTGACCTACTTTTAGAAAATTTCGATGAAAACTAGATTTTTTGTTTTCAAAGCACTCATTGCCACTCTGCCCTTTGTGCAGCACTGAGAACCTAAACGTGAAACTGGCTATGAACGTTCGTGAAGGAAACAGCACCGATTTTAATTCATCCATGTAAGAAAAATTCTTAGTGAGAAGAGTGAAACACAAGTCATGACTTCAGCCTTGTCCAAGCTAACAGTGCTTTGATTGCATCCCCCATTGCAGTGGCGTTTATACCCAGAAGTTACCTGTGAGATGTACGTCCTTCATTCCGCATTCACTTGGTAATGGTGGAAATGACAGGACGAGGTGAAAGCAAAGAGCCTGGCCCTTGTTTCCTCCTCCAGGCAATGTTGCAGGTTACTTGGCAAAGAAGCAGTGGAGAAACGCTTGCTTAGGAGGCAATCTGCAACACGCAGTCCTCTTCGTTTACCTCCTCCTTTCTTCCCAGAGTAATTAGTGAAGTTGCCTGTAGTCTCTTGGTAATTTCCCAGTTGTGTTGTAAGGTTTTTTTCCTGTCAGTACCCACTTATCAAGCTTAAACTCTAATTATACTTATCAGTGCTGAAAATTGGCTATTATCACTACTTAAACTCCTGCTAATTGTAAGAAATACTTTCATAACAAACTGGCAGATAATTTTACTTACCATCTAGATGTAACAAGCTCCACTTGATTTCTTTTTTTTGCATTGCAACCTTCTCTTATTTTTTTATCTGCGTGGCTGTTCCAGGGGTGAGTAAGGTGGTGACCGTGGACATTAAAGGGAACTGGCAGCGTTGGTTGAAGGTCCGAGATCTCACCAAGAGCATGACCTATTTATTCAGAGTGCAAGCCCGAACCATCGCCTATGGACCTGAACTGCAAGCCAACGTCACAGCTGGGCCAGCAGAAGGTAAGTGGAACCATAAAACCATGTCACAAGCCAGATCAGTTACACAAACGTGGTCCAACAGCGGGGAATAGTGCAGTCAGGGCTTAACATGAATTTCCAAGCCAAGGAGAAGTTGAGTCACAGGAGCTCAGGGCATGATTCAGTGGGTTTCGCAACTGCCCATGAAAAACATGTTTCCTTTTTTCCTGAAACCTAGAAGTCTGATGTGAATAAACAAAACAGTGTGAATAAATCATAACACAAATGGGCTAGCCAGGGATTTCGAAGCTGCAGCCTGACAGCGCAGTGCATAATTCTGACTGTACTGCTCTGCGGTGGAGTCAGAACTGGAATAACTGCCGAAACCAGCAGAGGTTCCTGGATGTAAAGCCAGAAAGAATTTACAGTTATTCTCTCCTAACACTTTGGTTTATGCAGAGGGAGAGGTCTGCAAATTTCCTGATATGTCAAGAGGAGCTACAGACTGAACACCAGCTTGGTTCAATATGCGTACCAAAAGAGTTTGTTTTCTTATTTGGTCAGTGATTTTGATAAACAGATAATCTAACAAGGCAAATGCCTTCCAATGATATAAGCCTGTCCAGTAAGTCACAGAACATCAATGCAATGCTCACATTTCTGATTTTTGCTTCTTTTCCAGCTCAGGGAAATACTTGCTCCCTCCATCAGAGCCACGTCTGGTAATTCCACCCTTCTGGGTGCCAGCAAGCTTTCACTTTATCACAGTACCCTCCGTAGCCATTATCTGGGACAGCAGCACTATGGATCCGCAGTCTAACTCTCATGCCCCACCACAGAGAGTATAAAGCAGGAATCCTCTCTAACATGGCCGTGGCATCTTCCCAAGCAAAGGGGCAGACGGCTGTCCCCACGAACCTCTCCCTGAAACTTGGAGGCTGGTTTCACCTCTGAAGTCAGAAATAGCAGTGGCAATGTGCAAACGCTGCAGATATGCTAATGGTTAAAATGAGAGTGTTTTTTCTCTTTCCTTCTTAACACAGGTACCTGTAAACCCCAGCCATTGATATGTAACTGCTGGTACTAGAACTAGTGAAAAATTTAGGTCAATAGCCCATGGAGCTGGTTTATGTTGCCTATATGTTGACCGATACTTCTAGATAATTTTTTTCCCCTATATCGCTAGAAGAAATGAAGAATACTGCAGTCTGTCTGTGATACCACCACCATTTGCTATTCTCGTTTCATCCTTCAGGGTCTCCCGGCTCCCCTCAGGAGATTCTGGTGACAAAATCTGCTTCTGGGCTGACACTACAATGGACTGAGGGAGATTCAGGAGAAAAACCCACCATTGGGTACATTATAGAGGCACGACCCTCAGGTAAGCCGTGGGAAACACGGAGAGCTTGATGTCATGAGTTCCCTTCCTTCAGTCCATGCTGAAACCCATCCTGCGGTGGAAAGGTTGTTTGTCATCCCAGTAAGGTAATGGGATTTTGTGAGACAACGCTGTTGCCAGCCAGTATTAAACCGTTGCTGGTTTATTATGTGGTTTAGCAGATTTTCTCCTGGTTAGGAGTAGTCGCAGAAAATTACCCTGAGTGCTCTGGCTTTCACTGTACTAAATCACTGGTAAATCATCCAACAGATGAGCTAATATAGTTAATAATTAAAACTCACTTAAATGCTCACGGCATCTTTCATGCGCAAGGACCAATATTGCAAACTGTATTTTGAGGACCACAGCTAGAAATCTGTCCTCCTCTGCAGCAGAACACAGCAGCTAATTACTATTTTACTGTTAATAACAGGGCCAGGACTTTAGCACCAGGTATGCATCGCTTTCCCCATTTGTTCTGCAGGGAGGGCATTGGGGGGGGGGAAGGAGTTCCCCCCATCACCACCAAGTTTTTCTTGGTGCTTTCCCAGAGCTCCTTTGCTTCTGGGATTTGCATCTTACTGAAGCTGCTCTCTGCTTTTTCCAGAATAGTTCCCCAGTGGGACACTGTCATTTTAAAAGTAGGCGTATGCTCCAGCCTGTTCATGGCCTCTCCCAGCTTCCTACCCCTCGCAAATTCAATAAGTTCACACTTTCTGGTAAGCAAGTCGTTAACAAAAACCAGTGAATGCTGCCAGACCCCTGTGTAATCTCACTTGATAATTGCCCTCCACTCTGACAGTGAATGTTGATAACCATTCGCCGAGAACAGTTTTCCAGCCGGTGATGCATCTACCAGATGCTGGTTTCACGTAGGCCGTGTTTGAATGTCACGATGTCAAAAGCTTTGCTGAAGTCAGGATAGATGATGTCTGCCCTTTCTCCTCTATTGACAAGGTCTGCTTCCCTGTCACAGAATGAAATTAGACATGATTTATACTTGACATACCCATGTTGGCTGCTTGTTCTTTCCTTTTTTTACTCCTAGGTGCTTGCACATTGCTTGATTATATATTGATTAAATGAATGCTTATCTGTTTGATTATATAAAGGATCCTAACTGTTTCTTGTATGTGTCTTGAATGTCAGGCTGCATTTAAAACCAATGATTTTAATTACCTTTAACCAGACCAGTAACAAAATCACTGCCTGCATTTCTTTTGTCATCACTGAAGATGCAGATTTCCATACTTGCGTCTGATAGAATTTGCTCTGTAGTGAGGCTCTGCTGTGACCCTAAAATTTCTTCCTCACTTCTGTCATTTACTTGACAATTGTTTTCAAAACAAAGTGAAGGAAAATGTGTACCTTCTCAAAGCACTGGAGTTTCCCAGAGCAATCAAGATTTTTTTTTAGTTAGAGGCGTGACACCGCTGTGCTTCTATTTCCCTTACATCAGCTTATTGATTTCTGCCCTTATTTCTTCATAGGTAGAAAATACCCTATCTTATTTGAACAGCATTGTTTAGATAGCAAGTTAAACTGAAGCTGTTCATTGAAGTTGACTTACCAGCTTACGTTTCCCCAAACAGGGTTTTTTGAGTATTTTAGAGGGAAACCTGCAGCCCATGTGCAGATTGTCTGCAAGCTGGAAATTCAGCTCGTGTGAGTGGTAACATTGCAAACTCATCCGATGTTCCTGGGCTTGTCTCACCGTTGGATGTGAATGAACGTTTTACATTTCATGGCTAAGGATGCAGGATTTGTGGCCCACTCTTTTTGAGTAGGAAGAAAATAGTCCCTCCAAGACAGGTCTGAGCTGCATTAACCCTGGGTCACTTCTGCTGGTCCCACTCCACTTATCCTGGAAACACACAGAAGAGGTCTTATTCTCCTGCTCTTGCAACCTGACTGTTGAGGCATTTAATTCCTCTTCAGATTATTTTAATCCTATTCATGCTGCTGTAGCAAATGAACTAGGCATTCGTATGCTGGATTCTCATCCTTCGTTCTGGTTGCAGCTGTAAGAAGCGTGAAATGTGATCCAGGAGAGGAGACAGACTAATTGGAACATTTGCTTATTTCACCCAAGTGTCGGCTTCCTTACTGTGCTGCTTTTCTTCCTCGTCTCTGCACGGAGGAGTTTGAAATCTGAATTACGAGCTTAACAAAAGCAGGGAACTAATTCCTCCTGTCAGGGCTGGTCATTCAGTGCAGCTTCTGTTTTAATATGATTCTAAGAATTTGCTTCTGCACGTTGATTTATATGAGTAATAGAGCGTGGATTGGAGCAACCTTTGGTTTTAAGGAGTCGTTGTGCAAGAGAAGAGCAGTTGACTTGTGCCCTTCACATAAAATCAAGGAAGGAAAAGATATATTCATCCTTCTGAGATCAAAAAAGTGGCATTGAACAGACAGATGAAAAGCTTTAGCTTGTTGCCGATATTTAAATGCAATACCACTACCTTAGTGTTTCACATCTCAAGTGTTATCTATTATAGGCCTCATTACCCCAAACGTTAAATGCTGTATCATCTCATTTTCCCTGCTGTAGCTCCCTGCCAAGACTCTTCCATCAGAGTGGGAGGGTGGCTTTCTGTCAGAAATGGCAAGCCCTACCCGCTTTTGTCACTTCCCTTTGAATTTTTCAGTGCTCTGCTGTGTCTCCCAGGGCTCCAGCTGCCCTGCTGGGTTTAGCAATGGTGGCAGCAGGCAGCTGAGGTTGTTCATTTGATCTCCCCGTTTCTCTCCCGGATTTATGGAAGGTGACCAGGCTGACTACCTCCTCTGCATTTTGAATATACTCAGACACGGGGACGGGGCAGGCGAACCAATATTTTTTCCAGAGTGATCTGTGCTAGAGGAAGACATTACAGAAACAGAAGAGTTTTTCTTTTCCTTCAACTTCTCTGTCCCTGGAGAAATGGACTCCAGTTTAGCTCCTTGTGCATTACAAGCAATGCAATTAAGCAGCCTCTGTCACTGCCATCGTAAGCACTCCCTAGACATCAACTAGGCTGGCTAAGGAATGGGTATTAGATCATGTCCTCAGTTTTTACATACAGAGGAAAAGTCCGAAATGGCACAATGATGTTAAGGTTCCCAGTGCTGCCCGAGGGAGTGGAGAAGCTGGTTTTGCCCCTCTTTTCCCAATCCCATGCCACATCCAAAGCTCCTCTCTCTGGACTGTGCTTTAATGGTAGGCATGTGGCATGTAAAGTACTAAGCAGTCTCACGCAGGCTTTCCTTCCCAGTTATCCCCTATCTACAAAGTGGATGTTTTTGTATAATGCCCCAGGGATCCACACTGCCAGGAGTGGACGTGGATACGTAACTGCCAAGCATGACACCTTCATGCATGTATTTGCCTCCTGCAGTCATCTTGAGCTGCAGGGCAGCCGCGTAGATGTTTGGTCAATCTGCTTCATGGCTTGTGTCGCCTCAGGAAAAGCCTCTGACCCAGGACAAGCTGATATAGATTTCCTCTTCTGCTTCCTCTCCCCATGATGTGTTTTAGGGTTTGTTTGTTTGCTTTTCCCAAGCAGGGGATGACTTAAGCCCAGTGGAGAGAATTGTATCTTAACATGCTTCCAATAATAATATTTCTAGCACTGTGGCTGGCATGAACAGGCCGGTTAAACCTCAGATCAGCCACAAATCATGAGCTTAGGACATAGATAAATTAAGAAAGTGTTTTCTTTTGCTTCCCAAGATGATCAGTTCCATGAAGGCAGCAGACGTTTTGGAGAAGAACCCGTCTACTTGGAGTGGGGATTGTCCTTCCCAGAAATGCTGGTTTTTGCTTCCCACACCCCGAGGGCAGATCTCACTTTAGTTTCCTTTCTGGTGTCTTGAGTAATGTTTCTATATTTTCTTCCTTTTCTATTTATTTTTAAACAAATGAAGGAGTGCAGCGTCAAACATGGACACAAACCAGCAAAAGTCAGTAAATTCAAAGTGAATGGTGCAGCTGCATTGCCGGCATCTGCCATGGGGCCTTTGGTTCGCTTCTGCTCGCAAACGACATGCTGAGGCTGACAGTTTGTCAGCCTTCACTTCCCATTCTTGTCCTTTCGCTAGTTTGCATGATAATCCAGCCCTTTGCCTCTGACAAATACATCCATATTTTAATTTTGTCCTCCGTAGGAGGAACACTACCCGCATTCAGCCGGTCCTTAACTCTCAGCAGCTTCTCCCCTCATAAACCTCCTAATGTGTAATTAGGAGAAAGTTTTACGGCATGGCTCTCCTCTTACTCCAAGAGGGGAAGGCTGGTGTTTAAGACCTGAATAACTGACAGCTTTCCATCTCCCCAGCCGCAGCACGGCAGTTGTTTGTTAGTGGCCTGAGTTAGCAGAGCCGGGAGCCTTCGTTACTGACTGACAGATTTATTCAGCGCGGAGACCCCGATCAATTGCCTGTGAAGCCAGGCTGGCCTGTGGGTGCTGTGTATGGCTGCAGCCTGCAGGGCTGCTCCTCGCCAACACAGGATGGCCGGCGCCTGGCCGGGGCAGGCTGGACATCGTGTTAGGTTGGAGGTGGTTTCACCTTCCCCTGTCATTCAGATCTCCCCATGCACGTGCCTCACTCCCAAATTGGGTGGAGGAGTCAAGATAAACATCAAATCTCACTTCAGCAGGAAATAAGGCTGGGGCAGGGTCTGGCGAAGCGTTGATAGAAACAAGAAGCAAAGAAAAATGTATTTTTTTGAGGAGCCCTTCCTTTTCTATCACACATTTAGGCCTTTTTTAAGAGGCCGAGTGCCCAGTGAAAGGCAATGTGAAATGAAGAAAGGGACGGATGTTACTGAAGGAAAAGCATTGGCGAGCAGCGCAAGTGCGTCCCCGCTGCCAGCTGTGCTGCCTCTCTCAGGACATTGACTGGGGCTGGCTGAGCCTTGCACCTCTTTGCGGGAGTCCGGTGTTGCAAACTTTGCTTTTCTCAGCGGTTTCTATGAGTTAATACCCAGTTGATATCCCAACCACGGCATGTGCATCTTTCCTCCCTAAACTGAGTGGAAAATACTGTGTACAGTGTACTAATGATTTTCTACTGAGCTTAAAGGCCAATCTTTGCTATCACAAGTGACCTTCTAATGAATTCTCTTTCAGCTGAACTTCTAACATTTAGAGCAAACCTAGTTTTGAGGGATGGGGGAAGAGATGCAGTGAATGAACTCACAAGTGTGTGTTCAATATTTAATCTCAAAGTTCACCACTGAAATAAAATGCTTTTTTTAGTTTGGATATAGAATCATAGAATCATAGTATAGTTTAATCATAGTTTAGAGCAAACCTAGTTTTGAGGGATGGGGGAAGAGATGCAGTGAATGAACTCACAAGTGTGTGTTCAATATTTAATCTCAAAGTTCACCACTGAAATAAAATGCTTTTTTTAGTTTGGATATAGAATCATAGAATCATAGAATAGTTTGGGTTGGAAGGGACCTCTAAAGGTCATCTAGTCCAAACCCCAAATATCTGTTTGCGATCTCCGTCTACAAAGAGGGGTTTGAGTGTTCCAGGTGGAGGTAAGATAAATTAATTGAGGCTCTGGAATTAAAAATCTTGTTGACCAGGGCTTGGGAAGCCACAGACTGTCCTGTGTGTGGCATTGGCTTGGAGTCAGCAGTAGGGGAGACGTAAGGATGTCTCCCTTTCCAGGCTGCCACCGTGCAGACTTGTGACCACAGTAGCTGCATCAGCACCTCTCTGGGATCCCAAGGATCACACGCTGGGTCCCATCTTGGCCAAGCCCTGTTTCCTACCCCAGGAAAAAAAAGTTTGGGCAAAGAGTCTTTCAATGAATTAAAGGGGGGTGGGCCAGAGAAGATATGGCCACTAGCCAGAGCATCTCTGAGTCCCTGTGAGACAGGAATCCCTCTGAAGAAACATCCACCAGCAGCCTTTGCTGCCCTACACCATCGCCACCATAGCCAAGGGGACAGAGAGGTGGAAATGCAATGTTGACTTCTCACAGGTAGTTTCCCCAACTTACTGGAAGCTTTACAGAGTGGTTAAATGTACACTTCTTGGTCTGTTGGATATTCTGCACTGTGCACCTTGATAAGTTTGAGAAAATGAGTGAGAAAGTGTGTGTGTGAACTGTTGTGTTTGTTGCAGTGAGTGTTGAACATTCATTTTTATTGTTGCCTTTTCTCCCCCCATTTAAATGGCTTTCAATGCAAACAAATTGCTTTTCAGACAATTCACAATGGGCTCAAATTCTCTTATTGCATTTTACAAATGTGTTTATGAAAGCTCAGGCAATTCTAGCAATTATGGCAATATTTTATAGTCTGAGATCCATCTTCCTGCTATTGGTGGTTGCAACAATCTAACTTTGAAAATGCATCCCTCACTCCACCCTCTTCAGAGAAACTAAATCCCAAGCTGCCTTTTTATTGCATTGTAAGTTTACGTGGTAGAAATAATCTAGCCTTCTATTGCCCTGTAAAAGGGAAGTCAATATTTTATCTCTTCTTTTATAGCCATTGTAATATCCAACTAATACATAACAATGGTACATTATGATAACTTCATTATACTCTGATCATGCTGGTGAATAATGTATTGCTCTGAATTTTAAGCATGACAGAAAAATTACCTATTTTTATTGTTCTTTGGTATTTCTCAAATGTAGCTGGAACAATAACATTTCAGCCTGCTTTTTGCGCCCACTGAGACTGCCAATCCTCATGATCAGAAAAGATGTAGTTTGGGGGTTGTTAGTCATTGTGTGTGTTGCTAGACGTGCAGCACGGTACAAATTACTGAGCCAATATTTACTGATGCCAAAGTTAAAACATTCACATGGAAATGCACCTGCAGTGTTAATCAATCCATCTTTGCTGCTATTCCCTGTTGCACAGAAGTAGGCTAAGGGCCAAATTTTGCTCAGTTACACCAGCACAATTCTGGAATCGCTGCGGTGACTCCAATTAGTTTACACTCAGGTAAATGCAAAGGAAATGAGAACAGATTCCTACCTCACGTTGCAGCAGTGGAACAAGTCGCTGAGGGTAGTGCTGCTGGCTCCTGCTTTATTGTTACCTTGATAACACCTCAAGCTACAGAAGTCATGCTGGTGCTCGAATCTCACAGTGCAGAGGACTTTCTTTCAAAGCAGGCAGCTCCTGCGCTGGAGTCGTATCTATGCAGAGGTTATCATCGTATTCCCACTGCTGTGGGACACGCAGAGAAAAACAGACATTGCTCAAACAGCTTTGATAACTAAAAGTAAAAGCCCAATGGGATACTTGTGAGGTGAGATCTATAAAAGCTATGCTGGCTTAGGCTAGCTGAGAGTTTGGCCCCATGCATAGACAGTAACTCCATTTTGTCAGTGAAAGCGCTGGGCTCCAATTGTTACTGAAAAGCAGTCCATTTAGATTAATGTTTGATTCCTGCACTCAAACTTATTGACTGTCATTTTTAATTATAGTTGGTTTTGTTCTTACTGGTAATAGCATCCATCTTGTTGAAAGTTCTTTCCATTGTAATCAAGTGAATCTAAGATTGCGGGTATGGATCAGGGACCAGAACGGTGCCTGGTCAGGATGCACATCAGGATCAATGTCGGTATGGCTGCTGAGGACTGAGATTACCCTACTGAAACACTCCCATCAGAACGGCATTGTGCTTCTAACAACTTCAAGAGGTTTCTAATACAAACAAAAACTCATTCCTGTTCAAAAATGCACAGCACAGAAGCGCAGTGCCGGCTGTCTCGCTCTGCGGGCCGTGCCACGCTGCGGGCCAGCGCATGCAAAGGACATATCACTATTGATATTGTGAAGCAAGCAGCACTCCAGTGACACCAGTCCACCAGGCACCAGTTCATGCAAGGCCACAGTACTTCCCACCAAGACCCAAATCTTACATTAGTTTGCAAAGCCTACGCACTTCAATAGCGAAGTCAGTTTTGCAATGTAAAAAGCAGGCAAAACCTGTGCGATTAGGACTCATTAATGTAGCAGGTTGCTTTGGGTTTACTTGCTCTGTCAAATAACAGGCATGCTGATGCAGTGACCTTATCTGATCAGGAGGGACCCGGATGGCTGGCAGCTGCTCTAGCCAGCTCAGGTCACTGTGGGTGCTGCTGCAGGTTTTAGAGGAGACCTCTTCCATCTGGGCTGTTATAAGACCCCATCATGAATAAATGCCTTTATAGATGGGGTCTTGCAGGGCATTCTGACATTTGTCTGTATCACTGAGCAGCCTTCAGGTAAGCATGTCCACTGCCTGTGGTTGAAACACACAATTAATGACAATTTTTTTCTATGAGCAGAAGGAAGTGCCAGGTCGCACAGTTCATGCCATTTCTCTCCTTGCTGCTTTCCTAGATGAAGGGCTGTGGGATATGTTTGTGAAGGACATCCCTCGCAGTGCTACCTCCTACACAGTCGGCCTGGACAAACTCAAGCAGGGTGTGACCTATGAATTTCGGGTGGTGGCTGTCAATGAATTTGGCTATGGAGAACCAAGTGTTCCCTCTGTGGCAGTATCAGGTAATCATGGATTTTTTAAAATATATTTTCCAATGGAATTTCTTGGGGTTGGGGGCTGGGAGAGGGAAAAAAAACAACCCAGATTCTGTAGTTGCAACAAATAATCGAGGGCAGATTGTTTCCACTTGTTTTAGGATAAAACCAGAGTAATATAGTGGTGAATCAAGGCTTGTTATTACAGTATGCTTTACTCTCAAGAGGAAAAATGCGTGTGCCATTTTTAAGTTTGACAAAGAACCTTCTCAGGAATTTCAAGAGCGTTTGTATGTAAGATCTCTTTCCCTAAGACTAATTTACACAGTCTACAACTTGTTTGCTTTTTCTCCTTTCCTCGTCTGTTGTTTTGTTTATTCTGCTTCCTTCTTTTTTTCCCAGGGTTCTCATAAATATTTTCTGTGTTATTTTGTATTTAGCTCTCAAAAATATAAAAGTGTAGTTTCACAAAATTATTCCTGATATCCTCCGTGCTGGCGGGGGGGGGGTGGTGGGGGGGGTGGTGGGTGATGCATCCAGTCCCCCTTCATCAGAACAGCTCGTTGGTGATGCTCTTGGGCTCTTTCCACCTTCCCTGCTCTCTCGTGCTTATTCCCAGTAAACACGACTATGGCCTAAACATGCTTCCGAAATCCCTTTGAGCAGCCCGACACTCTGGTTTTCTGAAGGAACTTCAATACCTCAAAAAGCGAATTCCACTCGGCTTGCGACGTCTGGGCAGCTGGAGTTCAGTGGCCTGTTGTGAAGTGGGAGGGCTTGCCCTGCTGAAAGCTTTGCTCAGGTCTCCTCTTACCCTTGCAGAGACAGCTGTATTCCAGGTTGCTTGTGAGCAATAAGTTTCATCCTTGCTGTGTCAGCAAAGATAGACAAGAGGAATAAAAGAACCTGATAAAGCGGCTTTGTGATTCAAAATTCTGGAAAGTCCTGAGCATCTGGCAACGCTCCAGTATCTGGAGTGGCTTTTATCTCTTCGCTCCTCCAGTGAAAAGCATAAACACCATTCAACGGTTTCCCAGCAGGCAAGAGTAGTATCGCTATCACGGCTGCATTTGTCCTTACACAATTAACCACTTAGCCTGAGAGAGCTGTCTATGGATTTCAGTGAGAGTGCTACCCTTGCTTTTCTCCTTCAGGACAAGGGCATAGACAACCCACTTCAAACACCAAGAGTCAGTGTTTTTCCTATCTGTGGTTTCAGAGACTGTAACACAATGTAAAAGGTCAGTAATCATGTCAGTCTTTCCTTTCCTGGAAGACATTATTCCTCTGAAGCTGGGTATGCAGCTCCTTGTGATGCTTTTTATAAGCAAACCACTTGTTTGTAAGTTCTCCACTTGAACAGAACTATTTAATTCACCTCCTTTTGATGCTTCAGTGTTCATCTCAAATTGCTGCATGAAAGTAAGAGGTTTCCATTGAGATTCACAGTCATAAAAGTATAAAGCATTTTAGGCTGGCCACTTCAGCTAGCACAGGGAGGTATAAATTGCACTGAATCTGCTCAGCCCAGTATGGCTTGTGCAGTTTGCCCTTAGGACTTTATTGGCCTGGCCTGGCCTCCTAGCAAAGAAAGATCATGGCTACTTTTCACTGCTGCAGAATACCCAGTGATCTGGAACAAATTTGAGCTCATATCATCAGGCTTACAACAGACTTGTGTTTAGATCCAGGGCTCCGGACAGCTGGGGAAAGAGAGTGCCTGGGTTCAGTGGCTGTGAGGGGTTGAAGTCGGTCTCCTGGCATCGCCCGGGACAGCTGGGGAAAGAGAGAGTGGCTGTTCAGTGGCTGTGAGGGGTTGAAGTCGGTCTCCTGGTATCGCCCGTTCCTACCAGGTGTTCTTCTACCTTATGGACTACAGGGAAATTATATACAACTGCTGGCTTGTGCTCCAGCAGTAGCATTTTTTTCACAAAGCTGAGGGATGCTGACAAAGAGAATATCACTGCAAGAAAATAACAATATTTGTTACTTTAAACCAAAACTGGCAAGATAACTCTAGCAAGGGGAAGTTAGTATCGTTTTGCGTCTCCAATTGAGGTCAAATGGGGTGAAATTACTTGAGATCACGCAAAATCCAGGCAACTGAATTGATACCCACGTGCTGCACATCAGGCTTGGCTAAGCTGATGGGAAATGGTATAGCATAGCAGTGAATGTTGGAAGTTAGAGTTAATGGAGGTACTGAAAGATATTGGCCAAGTGTACTTTGTTCCCTGGCACTAGCTGTATTTTTCAAAGAGCCACTGAGCAGCATTTGGCGGGGCAAGCCTCTTAAAAAGTGGAATAATCGTGGGTCATGACAGATATATTAGTGGTTCCTTTGGCCCAGGCAGTATTAAGTCTATCGCAGTAGTCAAGAAATGTGTGCGGAGCTGCAGGAAGAAACCTCTCTCTCTTCACTTGGTGATAACTACTTCTTAGCTAAGGGATCCTGGAGTGCTGCTCTGGGTGTGTGAAAGATGCTTGCGGAGATGTTGGAGCCATGATATGCTCCTGTTCTGTTTGCCGTCCTGGAAGTGTCAGCAAGCCCCTTGAAAGTCTGACTGCAGAGTAGACTGTGTTACCTCCTTTGAACACCTCTCTCTCCTGAACACTTATAGACGCATCATTCACTGTGGGGAAGAAGAGAAAATTTGGAAGGAGTATAAAGAGGAATTGTTATTTGGTGTTTGCTCTTTCAGCACAAACAGAAGCCCCTTTCTACGAGGAGTGGTGGTTTCTGCTGGTGATGGCACTCTCAAGTCTGATCCTCATCCTCCTGGTGGTGTTTGCGTTGATCCTGCATGGCCAGAGCAAGAAGTACAAGAACTGCAGCACAGGTAAGACATCGGCTCCATGCTGTGCACACACTCTCAAGAGTTGTGGGAATTAGAAATGTCTTCCCTTTGAACCCCTGATTTAATCAGCGTGGACTCTCTTCATAGGTATTGTATTTGGTAGAAGACTCGGATCATTTTACTGTCCCGTTTAGTAGAAACGGCTTTTGCCCATAGCCATACTGGGCAAAGAGTGCCTGATCTTATCAGGTTTCGAATGCTAACCAGCCATGGGCTTGGGCAGGACAGCATCTGGAAGTCTCAGGGACTGTAGCAAAAGCCAGGGAGTCTGGGTCAAATGCTTGGCAGAAGACCACAAAAAAGGAATGAGCTGAGACTTCATTTAGCTTTGTCATCATTCCCTGATAGATAGCGAGAAGGAGAAAGATTCTGCTTTTCCATGGCTGTACCCAATGCAAATATTCTGGGTCTGTATGTTTGAGGACTATATCATAACTCCTTTATATTAAATAGAGTGCCCTGCATCTCACATTCATTCCCTAAGCCAAGCTGCAGTTGCTGGGCTGGGGGCCAAGCAGCTCGGAGGTGTCTTGGTTATCTGGACCTGTTAGACTTTAATGCATAATAAGCATCAAGCTTTGAATTTTCCTTTAGTTACAATTTTTACCAGTCTCCTTTCTGAAACGAAACAGGAGCTACCTGCTCTATAACTAGGAATGTTGAAAGAGTCTCCTTTCAAAATGCCTACTTCTTGAGCTCTGAATATTGTTCTTACCTTTTCTTCTCCTTACACGATAAAGTCCTGGAAGGGCTGTTCACATGTATATTTCTCTCACAGCCTCCTCCACCTCCAGCAAGAAATTGCTCTGATGCCAGGAGGTGCCAAAAAAGGCACATTAATTGGTAAGATCAGGTGGATGGGTCTTTGCGCTACCTGTTCTTGGGCATTAATGTAATGAAGGAGTCTTCCAGGCAGTATTTAGTAATTCAGTCCCAAAGTGAAGATCTTTTCTTTCTTTATAATTCACTTCTAACAAGTGTTAGAAAGTCAGATTTCAGTCTCATGAGATATAAGATGTATGAATACCGTGGCGTTTTACCAAGTTAATACTATTACATATTTGTATGTATAGCTCATAGGAAATCTCTCATCTTCTTAGTTTTGCTCTGTGTTTGGGGGACAGACATGAAAAGACAGGTCTGACCTGTGCTGTCAGATATCAGCGTTCACACTGAGTCTTAATGTAGCGCTGAAATTGAAGCCGAGGATAAAGTACCTGTCTGCTGCAAAGTGGCAATATACAACCGGTCCTTCTCCCCAGGACACGAGCTGAGCTCACACCTTTGGGATTACAAAGAATGAGCATGGGAGAGAATAGGCTCTTGCTATATTCGATCGCAAGAAATAATATACTTTGCTGTATTTTCCCTCTTCTTCCAGTCCCCTGTCCTTTTCCCTGCCTTACATTGTCCAGTGATTTCTCACATCTGTATCTTATCCTCATTACAGCTCTGACATCTTTTTCCCATTTGCTACCCACTTACCCTTTCTCTTGCTTTCTTTCCTGCCCTTTTTTTTTTTTTCCTCCTTTTCTTCTTTTTCTGCCTTTCCTAGTTTTACTTTCTCTTGCTTTGCTTCAGTCAGCATGAATGGGATTCACAGCACCTGATTTAGGACATCTTCAGTGGCCATCTGAATTAGTCACCTGGTTCATATTTATAGTCAAAAGACAAGAATAAGCACTTTTGGAGCACAGTTCATCCGTGCTATTTTAGATACTTACCTCCAGATGAAATGCATCCATCCATGACTCCTTCTTTCCCCTCTTTTGGCTCCTTCTGCCTGTTCACATTCCTGATAAGCCTCTCTCCTTCACTCTGATTGCTCTCATTTGCCAATAGGAAAGGTAAAGAGATTTTCAAATAATTAATGATGTCATAAATCACAAAGAAGGAAAAGTTAGCTCTTACAGTTGTATTTGGGGGAAAAGTGCCTTTGTTTCAGCTGAATCTTTCATTGCCTGGCTCCAGGTAAAACCATCTCCAATATGGAAGAGTCGGTCACCCTGGATAACGGAGGCTTCACTGCTCTGGAGCTCAACAGCAGACACCTGAACATCAAGAGCACCTTCTCAAAGAAGAATGGAACCAGGTAAGAAGCTGGGAACACCACGCTCTTGGAAATGGCTTTTTATCTCGCTTCAAGCAACTGTTAAATAGGCAAAGGGGAGAGAGGATCTAGGGAGGGCTTTAATGCCCAAGTCACTGCCCCAGGCTGTGATTCTGGCTTCTAAACATGATTTAATTGTGTCATTTCAGAGAAATGACAGCATCCCATACACTCACCCTTTACGTTTCCTAGGTCTCCTCCTCGCCCAAGCCCAGGGGGGCTGCACTACTCTGATGAGGATATCTGCAACAAGTACAACGGAGCTGTGCTGTCCGAGGGCTTGGGCCTGAACGAGAAGCCCTTAGAAGTGTCGGAGTCGGAGGTAAGGGTTTCCCTTTGCCTTGCCAAATGTTGACCAGTCACTGCGGATATTCATTTCCCCGCTGAATCTTGGCAAGTCTCTGAAGTCCCAATCCCATACCTGCATTATATTGTGTTGTCACTGTTTGGCTGTCTTGGGGACTTTAAAACGTCCAATTCACCAGGTTGTTCACATCTTATCTTAAAATTAAAATGTCAAAGGAAAGAATGACAAGCAGGACCCAGCCAGGGCAGATTCCAGACCTGGCCTTGGCAGATATTCACAGTTTTCCAGTGTTATGTAGAAAGACAAGTGCAATCCGTCAGCCAGTGTGTGCTGACCTCTCTGGAAGGGGCTGCACATCCCCTTCTGCCTGTGGGCTGCAAACTTGGAGCACTTTTGGGAAAATGTATATATGCTGCAAAATAACCAGCTGGCTGCAGCTACCATCTGGATGAGGTTGAAGGTGGGACGGACACACTTTGGATTGTTGCACTGACTGAAGTATGGGATATGGTTTGAAGTTTTCACAGTGCCTTTTTTAGATAGCTACAGCGAACACCACAACGATTTGGAAGAGTGGTCTTGAGTGGTGACAACTGTTGCCTCTGTTACAGAGGGAGTAAGTGGGGAATGAGTAACCTGCCAGGGAGCGCATGGCCATGGCTGTGAGACCCCAACATTCAGGTTTCTGAACACCCCAGGCTGCAGCCTTAGTCTAACTCAAGAGAAGCCTTCTGCTCTGGTTGCCTTTAGAGTCTGTTCCCCAAGGAAGGTGGGTGTATGCCGGCATTATCCATCTGGCAGTGCTCCATCTTGTGTCTTACATCCCCTTTAAGAAGAAAGAAAGTGCTTGTGGTCTGTAAAAATCCAGCAGTGGCGAGGGGTGAATAGACAGACTTCAAGGGATATCCAGAAAGGTAAATCTGTCTCTAAAATTGTGTGTTGTCAGCTGAGATCCTGATGAATCTGAACTGACAGCGCAAGAAGCGAGCAGTGGGCCAAACCACTCCAAACCTGACCCTTCAAGCAAGAATAAATCAAGAGCAGCAAGTAGTGAAAGAAGATGACAGTTTTCATCTGTAGCTTTTCTGCACCTGCAGCTACAGCTGCTTTTCCTGGCTACCTAGCTCTCACCTCCTGTTAATTACCACGGACAGCCTGCTGCTTTGTGCTGCCCTGTGGCCGACCCGTCGTGCAGGCAGCTTTCCTTGGTGTAGCTCAAGCTGCTGTCTATGCAATGCACAAGCGTTACCCTCCAGATTAAACCCATAGTGCTTTGGTCATGTCACTGTAACAACCCAGCATTAAACCTGTCATTAAAACAGTTTGCTGAGCATGATCATGAATTTAGCACTGGCACCTTTTGACATTAATTTCAATGCCCCATGTGGTATTTCCTGGTAATGCGCAAAAGTCTACTTGCAGGGTGTCATTACTGCCTTCTGTATGTACTGTTTGTACAATATAGAAGAAAGTGATTTTTGTTTTTTTTCTCAGGCTATTATTAATATTATTTATTTACTGTGTATTGCAGTTGAGCCTGAAGGTCTCAATTGAGATTCTAGTCTTTTTGTGAATCTGTGTGTGCATGTGAGTATGTGAACAAAATATGCCTCCTGTTTTTCCTTGGGGCTTAGATATGCAGCCCTTCTGTATAATGTCTTTGATGCTTGTTTTTTTTTTTTGTGGTGGGGAGTGCTTTTAGGCATGAAATGTTAATATGCTCCCAGCAGAGGTAGCAATAGGAGATGCTGCCTTTTGATCAGCCTGAAAATGCTGTTTACATTGGCTGGTACAGACAGGAGGTGAGGGTGGGCTGGGGCAGAGGTGGGTATAGATGTTTGGCCACTCTCTTTTCAAGTATTCCTAAAATGCTGTTACATTGGCTGGTACAGACAGGAGGTGAGGGTGGGCTGGGGCAGAGGTGGGTATAGATGTTTGGCCACTCTCTTTTCAAGTATTCCTGTATCTATTAGCTCTTCCTGTTTGTCTTTTCTGTTCTTTTTGTTTCTATTCTCAAAGGAGATCTTAACAGACAAGCTCTGTTTTCCAAGAATTTCAGAATTTCCATCTCTCTTAGCAGGCGGAAATGTTTCCCATTATATGAAGAGTTAAAGATATCTTTTTATATAACAGCTCTACACAGGTTTGGTCCTCTGCAGCAAAGGGGATCCTGATGTTGTTTTCCTCTAAAACATCTTTGCGTGGATCTCAAATTCCCCTTAATACGGTGCACGTAAGGGCAGGCAGGGCCAAAAACTGTGCTTTTGCTTTCAACCCACATGTCATCTTGTTGCTGCTTAGTCTTACCCCTGTTGCCTGAGGTGTCAAGATTTTAGATGGAAAAGGAGGAAGCTCACTGGCTTCAAGTCTCATGGGGTTTACTGAACATGAAGAAGTCTGCGAGAAACTTGGGCTGACTTGACTGCACTTACAACACAGCTGCCTGGGAGCCTTCCTCCGAGCTCCCACCTGATGAGGAGAGCAAGAGAGAAATAAAGAAAATCAAGCAGGCCAAGCAGTAATATATGAATGAGGAAATATGAAGGGGAAACTCTTAATATTCATAAATCAAGTGGTTAACTTACTCCATGTCATGAAAGGCAAGCACCAGTACTGTTAATGAGTTTAAAGTAGTTTAATTGGCAGGTATGGAGCAAGAGAGTGCTAAGAGTGTAATTTCTAAATTATTAATGATAATAGGCTTTTAGATAATGAGTCAAGTGGACGAGGCTCTGGACAGCTAATCTGAAGAAATTTGGTGTTCGCCACGTACAGAAATTTGATGATGTACCTGCGATGTCATCCAGCCATGGAAGAGCAGTTTTACAGGAGCGGAGCGTGGTGTGTGTTTGTTTGTTCTCACATGTCCTTGTGGTCACCCAAAAACTGTTTTCAGGAGACAACGTTCTCACAGATTGCACACGTTATCAGTCAGTGCTGAATGCTGGCGATGCTCTGGTCTTCCCAGCTGCTCCCTGCGGTCTAACTGACTTCTGCTTTCTCAGCTCTGTAGGAAGATATTATAAATTTCCACTTAACACTTAATAGGGAATATGGTTTAACTTGTTTCCAATTAAGTTCTCCAATGATTTTGACAAGTTGGGCACCATGTGGAAACCAGCTGCAGGTGACGCATTAAATAAGCAAGGGTTCCTGTGTCCAGAGAAATCTTTTTGCATACTAGGTTACATTTACAGCATATTCATTTCATGTCAAGCAAAAGAAACTGCTGCCACCTACATTTTTAGAAGTAATCTCATAACATTGTTTCTTATGCAGTCACTTTTAAAAAAAAAAAAAAGATAATTGGAACTATTTTCAAATTTCAAATTTAATTGGAACTATTTTCAAATTTCCCAATGACTAAGCTAGCCAACTCTGCTCGCTGGCTTGCCTCTGAACAGCACTTGTGCATTTCGTGCTATCAATAAAATACTTAAATAGCCTCTCATTTTCTGTATTTGTTGTTTCACAGGCATCCATGCACCTTTGGTTGACAGTCTGTAATGTCACCACACACCCAGCCATGCCCCAGCCTATGGAGGTTTCCAAGGTAACAAAGCCACAGTCGCACAGAAGGGAGAAAACTGAAAACAAAGTAAAAAGCCCGGCAGCGTTTCCATTTACTCAATAGTTTAAAAACCACTAAAAAGTAATCCTCTGGTATAAGCTGTCTGTATTGTCACGCAAAACAGGTTTATCTTGCTACTCCTTGATTTTCATCAGGGCAGAGAGGGATGTGGGACAGCAATTTAGAGAATTCCTTGCTGGTAAGGGTGGTTATTAGTACTTTGTTCAGAGCAGACCTTAGAAGATACTTTAGAAACATGGACGGAATAGTCGGTTCCTGCCTGTTCTGAAGGAAACACAAAGAAAACACGTGTATCGACACTAACAAGTCGGTTATCCTTTCCAGCACCAGTGCTAATGATGGTGAAAGGCTGAAGTTAGTGCAGCAATGTATGTTTCATGAAAGTCGCTTCTGAAAGGCACTGGCTTTATTTACACCAGACTAGTGTTCTCTTTCAGTTGGTATAATGGACTAACTAGTGGACAGATTATCAGCAGGTGGTATTGTTTTAAATTCCCTCTTTCTGTTCATGGCAAGTCCAAGTGACGCTGTATTTCAAGTGGCAGCAGCCCATCTAAAAGTGTTCCCAGTATTTCTCCTCTTTATTATGTTGACTTCTGGCAATCTAGAAAGAACTTGGCTTAGGTACAGAAGTTATATTAGTTTTGTGGGTGAGTATCTCTCTGCTAGGGTTGGACAGAAATCAAGTTGCTGCATCCGTATTATTATACCTATCAAGTCATGCGTCAGTCTTCTGGATACAGCTTCTTCTCAGCATTTCTTCTTCGAGCTTCCAGCCTTTTAGTTGTCTTTATGTTTCTGTATGTCTGTGGAGACATCAGGAAGACCAGTAAGGAGCCAATAGAAGTTTGTGGATTTTTTTCTCCTTATGCTTATGACGCCTCAACTCAGCTGTGATCCACCTTTTCAGCAGGGGCTTGTTTCTTTGGTGGGTGGCTGAGCATGTCTGAGTCAGTAAGAGCTGATTGGGGAAGGAGTCAGAAGACATGGCAAGGGCAGTGGTAGTGTTGTGCCTTTGATGGAGGGAGCACATCCATGATAGCTAGAGGAGTTCATACCTTCAGGTACTACTTCTGGTGAGTGATCCACAACCACCTGCCTCTGCTTAGGATCTAGACACTTTTCTTCTGGATGCCCACATCATCCCCCAGCTTCCCAGGCACTTTTTACCTTAACATTAGATGATGGAGCTGCAGCAGAATGTTTGGAGACGTAGGCTGGTGCAAAGTGCAACACCTTAATTCTTGGTAAGAGCAGAGGAAACCTGGGTTTGGGGATCTTTTGGTCTGCAAGTAAAGTTGGTTGCTTCTGCAGCTGAGGACCAGCCTGCCTGAGCTATTGCTGCCTGCTGCCATGCCCTGCCATCTGCAGTCATCAGAGGCACTCTTGTTGGAGCCCCTTACAAAAATAGACAGGGCAGTGCTGGCAGGATGTTCCCTGCGGCAGTGCCAAGACTCTGGAGCTGCTCTCAGCACCCACTGGCTGTGAAGTGGTCCAAATCTGGGGATATTCCAGGCCTGCCACAAAACCCACCTGTTCAGGAAGGTCTTTGGAGGGAGTCGGGTGTTTGCTTCCCGAGGCTGGCAGCTGGTGCAAAGGAGCGTTCTTCTAGGAGATAGACTTGCTGAGTTCCTTCTGGAACAATTATTGAATGCTGGTAGGGTTTTGTTGTGATACTAATTACGTGTCAAGGCACCTGAAGCTCTGCATTCTTAAAATAATCAAACAGTACATAATTCTGAAAGAGCCAAAGCATGGTTAACAGTGGAAGGGAAATTTTGCAAAGCTGTAAAGAGCTGCTTTGCTCAGGCTTTTGGAAAACTCTGGGAAAAAATTCTCAGCCCTGTCCATCACCCTCTGTGCTGGAAAATGGGCACAAAATAGTACCGAAGCAGCTATCTAAGCAAAGAAGTGGGATGATGGATGCGGTGCCCTTTTCAAATGATGGTTCGCAAGGCATTTGAGGATTGTTCTTCAGAGACCATTAAGAAGGAGCTTTAGAGGAGGAGAGACGAGTTGTGTGGCAGACAGGATCAAGAAGGATGTGTGTTTGCGGTGTGGTGTCATAGATCAGAACGATACCAACCTTTTGAAACTAATTGCAGCAACTAACAGTTACAAGCTGCACTTACCCGTCTCTCTCTTGTATATCTTAGGCAGCTACTACTTTGATATTTAATTGCCTTTAGAATCGGTTATGCAGATTATCGGGGGGGTGGGGAGGAATAAAAGCTTTTGCATGTTCGAACCAGAGATTTCGAGAGGAGGCATGAGATATGGAAATGACTGGGTAAATGTTTGTGTGCTGTACGGGATGTGGTTGTTATTGGTGGGAACATTAGTGGGAACAGAAGGAAAATGTGCGCCTGGATACCATGGCCAAGGCTTTGTCGTGGTCTCTGTACTCGGAGGAGATGTACGAGCCCTCTGTGATTCCTCCAGCTGTATCACAGCAGCGGTACTTCAGAGGAGGGGCAGATGCAAAAAGCTTATCTGGCTACATCTCAATAGAGCTCCTGCTCGATATTGATAGGAGCTTTGAAGCTCTTCAGCCACCGTGCATAAATGTTTCAAGGGGTAAGATCCGCTCTGAACACAGGGCTGTGCCTGAGCCATCCCAGGAAAGCAATCCCTCCTGCCTGGCAGTTCTTCTTGTCCAGATTTTGCATTCTCTTTCTTCTGTCGCCGCTGGTTGTGTGCCTTGTTGTACCACCAATAATCAGCTGGAACATACAGGTAGAGTTGTTTGCCTGGGGAAAAAAATATGTGATTTTGCTTAATTTCCTTTCAGTGATATAACTAATTTTCAATACTTAACGGGGCTTGCAAGCCAAATCCAGAGAACTACGCAGGTGGCCTGGTCTGACCACCACAAACACCAGCACATCTGGCTAACTTCAGTGCGTTTTCGTGCAAGACATTCTTTCTGTCCTTGCATCAGAAGGGAGAATCTCAGTTGTAATTGCAATCTTTCTGATTACGTGACTGAAAGCTGTTGGTTTCCCTGTGACGTCTCTACACTTCCCTGCATCTTGTGTCAAAATAGGAACTCCTAGCTCCCGCCGCAGCATTCTGCAGTGAATTAGAAGGGATTTCTCTGCATCTGTTATCGCCAGCGTTCGTTGGGGGACTCTCCCTCTAGCAGCAAAGCCTGGCTAAACCAGAGCACAGTGCTTTTCTACAGTCCAGCATGTATTACACTTGGACTACAAACCATCCTACCCTAAAATTACAGCTTTTGTCAGCTGGTGATATTAAACTTTTCTCTAATTTCTTTTAGAGTGGAACAGGCTAAATCATAGATGCTAATGGCTGAATTTTTTTTATTTTTTTTTCCTGATGCTCCAGGCCACTGACTCAGATTATGAAGATGAGTTGCCAAAACACTCCTTTGTGAACCATTACATGAGCGATCCCACGTACTACAACTCATGGAAGCGGCAGCAGAAAGGGGTGAAGCACCCGGCATCCTATAGATACGAGGAGTGCGCCGCCAGCGAGACAGACCCCTATTTCCAGACTGTCATCACGACACAGAGCTCAGGAGGGGTGTACACCCCAACGGGACAGCCCGCGCCCGGCTCCCGGACTCCAGTGACAGGGTTCTCCTCCTTCGTCTGAGACGGGGCTGGAGGATAGAGCCGAACCGCCGGCAGCACTCGGAGGGACCCGTCGCAGTGACTGTGTGTGTGCGTGACCGATGCGGTGAACTGTGGGTAACTTCTCTATCAGGGTAGAAATGGATGGGAACACGAACGAGGCTGGGGGTTTTTTTTCTGAAGACAATCAACTGAAAATATGGAGCTGAACTAGCTGAACCTTTGTTAAAAAAAAAAAAAAAAAGGAATTCTGAAAAGTGATGATTTTAACCACTTGTGAATAGTAGGGGTTTTTTAACCGCTTTTTGTAACACTGCTTCAGGAAGCAGCTCCCATGCCCTTCTCTTCCCTCTTTCTTTCTCTCCCCTCCTCCTGTCCCCCCCTTCCCAAACAAGGAGGTGAATTCCCTAGATGCAATGAGTGACTTTGTGATGTGATTTGAAGAGAAACATAAAACCTCCCAGGCTCTTCTTTCTTCCTTTTCTCTACTCTTTTTCTTTTTTTTTTTTTTTAATTTTTCCCTGTCACCAATGTCAAGTAGGAAAATATAGAAGAGGGACAAATTTTTATGTGAAAAGCAGACGCCTCCTCTCTCCTCATTGCTGCTCCCCACATTAGGAGCCCTGGCTGATCAACTTAGGCTCAGATGTGTCACTCTGCTCTAGGCTCAGTACTGGTGTATTTATACTGAATTACTGACCTGCTTTTCTTTCTTGTTCAAATGGGACCTGCTGCATTCTTTAAATATTCCAACTCCAGGGCCTTTAGAAGAGGAGATGGCTCAAAAGAGCACTGTAGGCAGCGGTGGGTGAAGCAAGTGGGAAGAATTCAGATGCAAGGTCAGTTTATTTTTGGTGTGGCTCTAATCCTCCCTCCTGGACTGCATGTGCCATTTGAATCAGTCATTTTTTAAAAGTCAAAGGACACAACCCAGCAAGCCAGAGGAATCTTTCAATTGAGACTGCAGTGACAAGCTAGAGTCTCTACTAATTGATGAGGTTTTTGATCATCAAAGTTATCCTGCCCTGTCAGTAGAAGTCGAGCATCCTTTCTCACCCAGACTCCGCAGTGCTGCTTACTGGTCTGTAAAAAAGTACACGGTAGCTGGGTTTGTTTTATTTTATTTTTTTAGGACAAAGACATGTCACACAGACTGGGTGAGTTTTGGTGTCCGCAGGTGCCTTTTACTGATTCTTCAGCTTCGTATCTGGGAGAAGCAACAAAGTGTCTCCAAATAAAACGAACCAGGTTTTTCAAGCATTAAGGTCATGAATTACCTTGTGCACGTTTACAGGCTGCTTTGTGCACTTGAAGCTACAGCCTTTGGAAAGAAGAGAGGGGTTTTTTAGTTTATTTTCCATCCTTTTGTATAGCTCCCTTTTTGTTTTCTTCTATCCTTTTCCTGAGTCTGTCATGTTTAGCAGCAAGTTGTTTGCTCACAAGGAAGTTGTCAGGGGTTTAAAGAATCCAAGTCCAGCCCTTAGACCTAGCAACAGTCCTGGATCACCAGACTTTTTACCGCAAGACTTTGAAAGGTGAACTTGGAAGTAGGCAGGTCCTTGCCACTCCAGTGTCTGGCATTTCCTCCCAGGTGGATGTAGGTCAGCCAGGAAAATTGGTATCCTGCTGCTTGCTAGCGTCCCATCAGGGCATGTGTGGGCACCGTTGTTATTTCAAATTCTCCCTGTCCTCTCTGGAGGGATGCGGGACAGCTGTGGCACTGGGTGGTGGTGTCTTCAAGGCAGGTTGTTGAAACCAGCCTGGCGTTGATTACGGTGGCTGCCTGTTCCTGCCCGTGGGGGCTGGTTAGAAGTAGGCTGGTGGCACCTCACCTGAAGAGGTGAGGTCCAAGGGCAAGCTCAGCCCTGCTGTCACCTTTCTTCTCGGACAGGGCAAACAATCTCAGAACTGCTTTTACTCTTTGGCACTGCCTCTGAGAACTGCTGCTCTTGGTGCATACAGATTCTGGATGGCTTTGGCACTGGATTGCTGTTCCTCTCCAAAGGCTCCAGAAAGAAAAAATTCCAAACCAAAAACTCCAGTGGGTGTGTTTAAGGGCTTTTGAGTTTGGGATAATGATCCACAGCTCATTAGATGGCAAGAGATGTGCAAAGACACGAGCCAGAACCCTGTGAGCCATCCCCCTCTCTGCACCTGGGTAGGATGTGTGTGGGATGGAGAAGGGGCTCCAAAGAGGATGACGTGGAGCTTACTGAATGAGAAGAGGAATGCAAAGCAAACAAAAACCCCACTGCCTTCTGTGCACTTTGACTGTTCTCTTAAGCCATATGAACTTCGCTTTAATTACTGAACTGACAAGACTTTGTTTGCAGTCTGTTTTTTGTTTCTGAGACAAAATTTTCTACGTGACGTTCTGATTTGTTTTCTTTCTCCTTTGTTATTTCTTGCATCAGATTACATATTTTAAACACGTTTTATATGCATGTGACATAGCAGTGCAATTGCTGTTGGAATTTTAACGGCGCTTATCCAACAGGTATGAGAGGTAGCGCTACAGCAGGAGCCTTTCAAGGACCACTAAAGACTTAGGGATGTAGATTAGTAGAAAGTAGATCAAACACCGAAGAGCTGGCTCCAAAGGAAAGCGTAGTGCGACTAGCTCTGTATCTCCTGAATATTGCCAGATCTGAACTGGTGTAAGGTGCAGTTACTCCCTGGGCCTGATCTGATAACCACATTGAGCAAAAAAGCAAGGAAACCATGGGGAATAAAGGAAATGGGCTCTGTGGCCACTGCTCCACTGAAGGACAACATGGGGAGCAGCACGATCTATACAAAGCAAGGAGAAGAGGCTATTCCCTTTTTCTCAGAGCCATCTGCAACTAAAAAGCCTGAGCTTGCTGAGGGCCTGCTGAGTTGGCTGTATGGCCCTTTTCTTCCGACTGCTGCCGAAATGACAGGTGAGGTGTGATTCCTTTAGGACCTGTTGATCCAAACAAAGGTATTTCTGTTCCATTCCAGTCGACACTACTGTCACTCCCGGTTTTGTTTTGTTTAGGAGTTGGCTTTTCTTACATGTGGGTTTATTTTACTTAGGCAATTGCAGAGCGTGGAAGTGCACTGCCCTGCTCACCCTGAAGATGAGCGTAGGATGTGTGTTCTGCTGCCCAGGATCCTGCATAGCCACATGCATGATGCCTGTGCCTTCTTGTTAGCACACTGTACTTGTAAAATATGATTAATGGGTAGGTTTTATTTACCTCAGGTATCAGGTAAATTGTTCTATCTGGAAGGAAACACTCCATCAGTTAGCAAGAAAGTTCTCTTTCATAGCTGTAATCTTTGGGAATCACAGCTTTGAAATACAACTTTTAAACAGTAGTTGTCGTGTTACAATAACTTCACCCATCAAATCCACTTCTGTTTCTATCTTCTTTAGAACAGTCTTGAAAAATGAAGGCTTATATTTAAAATGACTTCTTAGGCTATTATATTTGTATTTATTTATTTACTTTCCCATGTTTCTCAGGTCTCTTGGTGGCTGTTACTAAAAAATAAAAACAGCTTCATGAAATGACCAAGGGAGACATTTCAGGGAACAGTTTAATAGGAGCTCATTTTTCATGCAATAGCCATGGAAATATCCAATTTCCTGCAGGAAAAAAGTGCCCAAGTCTTCACGCCCCTCCCAGGGCTGAGATGACACCAGCCACCACCATCAGCAATGCTCCCGGCTCTCCCAACAGCACCGAACTTCAGGTTGTCCCTATCATAAATCACATGCAAAAGTGCACGTGAGTGAAGGAGCTGTACTGTTCCAGCCCACTCTAAGTGGAGCATTTTACCCCTCAAACGTCTGTATCACACCTGGTTTGTCCCCCACCATTGCCCACACCCTTGGGTGGAGTATTTTCCATTCCCATCTTTTAATGCTCCGATGCTGGTGCACGACCGGTGCTGCTCGGGTGCGACAGCAGCAGTGAGAAGGGACAGGAGAGGGCACTGTTTTACTTTCATCAGTGACAGTCTTTTTCCCCACCGTGGGAGTCACCCGTGTGAAACCCCTTCGTGGGGAGGGCAGGGAGAAGCGAGAGCACGGAGAGCAAAGGATTTCATCAGCTTTTACTAAAGGAATCACACTGCGGCCAGCGATCCCACTTTTGGAAGCAGTTGGCATTACTGGAAAGAAGAAAAAAACCATACAGAAAAAGAAACTAATCCATTACCCAAAAGGATTATTTTTTTGCCTCTTCATTTTGAGTGTTAAAGCCAATGACGCTCTGCAGATGGGCCAAGATCTCATTTTTCCTGCTTAAACCCAGGTCTCTGCCAGAAGCTGCTGTAGCAATTGTTTAGAATAAATATCCAAGCCTGTCTTGACATGCGGATACATTTATTATCCTTGTCATTGCTTCCCTCAAGAAATCCATTGGGTCATCCAAAGATTATCCTATCTGCTCTCCAAAAAGGGAGGAGAGAGAGCTGTTTATACATACAGAGCACTGGTGTCTTCTCCCACTTGCTGTTTTCAGATAAGCAGGGCAACTTGTTTCAGAAAAATCCTTTTAGAAAAGGAATTTATCAGGAAACTTAAAAAAAGAGAAAAAAAAACCCACAGAAAAACCCAAACACAAGAAAGCTAACCTTTGGCAGGGCCATTAGAAATCTTGAAGTCCTAGAAACCTGTGACATGTAAGACTGAATATGATCCCAAGACCTCCTATCTTTAGTGATCTCCTTCATCAATAGCAGCCAGAAGGGCACATGCAATGAGGGGTTATATTTGGAGAGGAAAAGCCATCACAGAACAGTTGCTAGATGGGCAGGTTTTACTGCAAACAGCTTCATTCAACCTGGAGTTCCTGCTAGTTCAATCACATTTCTTAGGTTGTTTTTATAGGTTTTTGCCAGCATGTGTGGAGTCCATACATCATCATGGTGTTACTAGAGGTCACGTGGGGAGAGGTATGTTGCTGTGGTGTTTACACAAAGCCACATGCATGACAATGTGGTTGTACAGTATCCATTGAAATCTCCTTACGGAAAGCCACCCTTGAATTAGGAGCACATTCACCCCAAGACTGAACGTGTTGGGATGGGCATGGGCCTTAAATGGCTCCACCTGACAAGTCCCTTGAGTTCTTTGTACTTTTGTGTTCTGTTTCTTCTCCTCCACATCTCCACCCCCAGCCCTCCCAGCCAAATAAAGTTGGCTTGCACTTTGTGAAGGTGTAAAGTTTGCTGCCCCCGGTAGTAGAGAGCCACAACCGATAAGCACACATGTGACACATGGGACAGGTGAGGTATGTTGGAACAAGGAGTGAAATACCACTGGGACTTGAGATTCAGGCTCTGACTCAGAATTTTATCTTCTCAAAGCTGCCACCTGCCCATTTTAAATGGCCCTGGAGTCTCAAGACTTGGCAGGAAATTCATTATTTTGATGCTGTTTGATCACTGTGCACTTTCTTGGGGCTTGAATCACTGGATATAGAGACTGGAATGGGGTTACAGAGCTTTATATTGAAGTGTTTTCCCATTTATGTCCGATTCTCTAGATCTGGGAATGAAACCTTTCTGCTAGCGTGACGTGGTGGTGTTCTGCAGGTGGGGCACCTGGGAATTGCCACCAGCGCTCCCCCTTTGGTGTCGTTAAGCTCCTGGGCAGTTCTGGGATCTGTAACGGTGCAGTGGGAGCTCTCAGGTAGCAGAAAGATGCAAGGACATGGTATTACGGTGAGTTTGTAGCTGGTCACTTTGCCGCTCTTGGAATGGAGTCCGTCCTCTGGTTTGGTATCTGCTGTCAGTTTAGGGGTAGGACCACCTTACACAGCTCTGTTTGAGTTACCCTTCGGTGTACTACGGTTATTGGATCGTTGCTTTTACTTCAGTGTCTCCTTGGGGATTTGCCCTGGATTTTCGTTCCACACATCTTGTTAGCCTCACCTTCACCACTCCACTATTTTATATGAGAAAGTTACTTCTTCTTTTGCAAACTTGCTTCTAATTAAAAGAACCCTTTTTGAAACGTGTGTGTCCTTGGTACATTTATTTTGGGGAGGGGAAAAAAATATTTTCCAGCTTCTTCTGTTATTTCTGGCTTGAAGAAGCTTCTGGGTGCCTTGCCAGCACGCTCATGAGTTAACAGCTCAGGACGGTGAAAACGTAACACAGGCTGAAATTCCTCGCTGTTAGTTCTGGACTGTAAAATCTTATAATCCCCCGCTGCTTTTTAGCTAAAATGACATTCTCAAAGAGTTTCCACCCAAAATTTGATCAGCCTTAAATAGTTTGTTATTTTGTGGTGATAAACTTCCTCCAGATCCTTAATACAGGAGAGTCAAAACCCATTCAGAAATGGAAACTCACGGGGCCACCATTTTGTACGCCTTCGTCCCCTCGCAAATAAGACTTGTCCTCCCCTGCAGCGTTGTGGCAGCTGTTAATCGGTTCCCACAAACATGCTGATGTTGGGGAGGTCAAACCAGATCCTGGCTGGTGGAAATCAGGGCAGCTCTTTTATTCCGGGGTGGTTGTTGGTGCTTTTCCCCAGCTGAGCATCTGGCCTAGAGAAGTGAACTAAACACAGACAGGTCGGCTACAGCTCTGGTGGGAGAAATGAGGGAGAGAAAACAATGTTTTCCGAGTGGGGGGGGTGGGGGAAAGAGTCAAACTGCTAAGGAAAGAGCTCATATCCTCCTGCTCCTGAAAGGGATATTATAAATAATGCAATGTTGTATAAATACAGGCAGCCCTCTGCGGCTGGTAGCTTGTAATAACCCAGAGGTATCGATGTACCCATTTTGAAGATGAAAATCCTCACGCCGTGGAATTTCGTGAACGAGACATTATTCTGCAAAATTGCCATAAGATGCAGAAATGCTTTTTTGAGGTCATTCGGCTCCGAAGCATATCATCCTCCCGCTTCCAGCCCTTGCTCTTCTCAGGACGCATTTCCTCTGCACGCGTTTTTATGGTTAGGAGTGAAGCACAGACATAAACACGGGAGTGGATGGAAAATCTGCCACGGCATTTGTAGCCTAAACAATACCAGAGAAAACAGATTGGCTTCCCGCCCTGCCCTGAACAGCACAAGCAATGGCTTGACTGAATCGAGTAATCTGGGCTTTCATTACTGACCCTTTTCCTGCTATTTGTCTCATTTGTTTCCTCTTCTTCCCCCTGCGTTTTTGCTCCAGGGTTATTTATTTTTCTCCTTGCTCCTTTTATTTTCATTTTTTTTTAAGCCTGCTTCTTGTTTTTACTTTTTTTTTTTCTCCTCCTCTTGCCTCGCCAGTTATTTTCATTTCAAACCTGCG